ACCCTGTCTTTGTTTTTACTGAAGGCCAGTTTACTTTGCAGAATTTGGTAAAGCTTTACAGCCTGAATGTTCAAGTATTGATATGCCAGCTTGGCACATGTAGCCCAAAATCAAAAACGTGTAAAATAGCCCCGTGGCAAACATTCTTATAAATATGTATTTTTTTTCCATTCGCCTTAAAAGTTGGAATATAAAATGAATTCCATATAGAGATTATCTAGTTAAAATGTTCTATGTATTGAGTTACTATATACAACCTGTTACAGTGTGTGTTTTTTTCCTCCCTAACAAATTAAAGGCAAGTATATTAAAACGTATAAAACCAAATGACAGATGAACTGCTTCCATTGCAGATAAAATATAGTCTTTATAAAGATTACACAGGGAATCTTATTTGGAGCTTAATTTCTGAACTCTGTTCTAGCTTGTGATCCAAGCTTGTAAATTATTGCAAGAATAAAGGCAGTTTAATGTGTTCTTAAAAATGTTCACCTGAACTATCATTTGAATCACTTTCTCGTGAGCATTTTTCTATACTTTGTGACTACATAAAGGACAGAAATTAGTATTTGTTTCTATTAATACTGTTTAGTTATTTTTATGGTCAGTTTAATGATATCAGAAATCTATAATCCTATTTTTTCTAACTCCCTGCAATTATAACGATACCGACTCATGATTGCAGTGCTCAGAAATTAAATGATTTTTATTTGAACTGTTGGAATACTAGATAGACAATACTCCGTGGTACATTAATTTTAAAATGAAACTAGAATTTAAGCATGGTAATTGTTTTTGACTGGCTTGACACCATTAACTGACCTAACAAAATGAAGTTTGGACAATTGCTGCAAGTCTTAAAGAATTTATCATTTTAAAGCTGCGCTGTCAGTATGTAATACCTAACTGAAAATTTCAATCAACGGTAATTCACTTCAGATTTATTGACTGTAGTTGAACATGCCGTAGAGTCTCGCCAGTACATATCTTTGCCAGTTGGGTTACAAATTTTGTTTCCATGATTTGATGTGGTCTTTGCATCAAAGCAAGCTGTATAAGCTGGGTTACTGAACCTGAATTTGAGCATGTAATGTGATCAGGTTGAGAAACCGGTATGAACAACTCCATCACCAAAGCCTCCGCTGCAATGTACTGAACTTTGATTTCAATCCTACTGATGTTAGTCGAGAATCAACTTTCTGGGCACCATACACAGCTTTTATTGTTCCATGCCTTTCAATTTATAGAATATTTGAAGATCATACAGAAGAGAATGCAAGTAATTTTGAGATGTTTACATCTGCCACTTACTAGAATACATGAATTGCAGCGAGGAATTCATTCCTAGATAACTTCAATGGCTTGCATTGCTGGATACTCAGCATGGTTCGAGTTGAGTCATAAAATCTGAAAAGTTGATATCCGGATCAATTTATGACATTCCCCCTCCCTCCCCGTGCACACAGGAAGAAATTTAAAAATGCTTGTAAATGTTACGTTTTTGTAGATAAATGTCTTACAACAAATTTTAAAAAAAAATACCTGGTGACAGATGGTTGAATACTGAAGAGATAAATTTGATATCTTGCTGAACATCATAAATAATAAGCAGTTTTGTTTACTTGTATAGAGAGGTATTAAGGCTAACATATAGTGTTTAGAGTGCCCTGTTCCCTTTGGGCTGTGTACACAGTATAAAAACAAAGAAGGCATTTTGGGCAGACAGGACAAACACAAATTGCATGGTTAATCAGGTGTTGAAGAAGAGTATTGTGCAGGCAGACTTTGGTAAAGTCATGAGTTTACAAAGAACGGTAAGGTATTCTTTTTTAAGCCAAATAAGATCAACCAATGTGGTGAAGCAGAACTATTGCTCAAAGCTAAGCTGTGCTGGTTCAGATAAATTAACTTGCTCACAACTGCTTCTCTGTCTGTTCACACAAAAGAACTTGAGGGTACTTGAATATGAAGCACAGAGGTGCAGCAGATAATTAGGAAGGCGAATGGAATGTTAACCTTATTTCAAGTGGGTTGCAGTATAAGAGTTGAGGTCTGACTGCAACTATACAAGGTGCTGGTGAGAATACATCTGGAGAACTGTGAGCAGTTTTAGTCCGCTTATTTAAGGAAACATATCCTTTCATTGGAGGCAGTTTAACCAGGATGATCCCTGGTATGAGGGAATTGTCTTATTAGCAAAAGCTAGACAGGTTGGAACTCCACTCATTGGAGTTTAGAAGAATGAGAGGTGATCTCATTAAAGCCTAGAGGATTCTTCAGAGGCTTGGCAGGGTAAGTGCTGATGGATCGATGTTTCCACTCATGTGAGAGTGGAGGACCAGAGAGTATAGTCTCAGAAAAAAGGGGCACCAATTTCTTCTGAGGGTTGAGAGTCTTTGGAGCTGCTTGCCACAGGGGGTAGGGTTCAGAGTCTTTGTCTATATTTAAGGGTGAGACAGATTTTTGATCTGTAGGGGAATCCAGGGTTACTGGGGAGGGGTGGGGTGCAGAGTCCTTGTGTATATTTAAGGCTGAGATAGATTCTTGATCAGTAGGGGAATCAAGGGTTACAGGGAAAGGGCTGGAAAGTGGACGTGAAGAGGGTTCGATCAGCCATGATTCTGTTAAATGGCAGAGCAGGCTCGAGGGGCTGAACAGCATACTCCTGTACCCTTTCTTATTGTCTTATGTTGTAAAATGAAGCAGCTTAACAAATTGCGTCTGATTTTTGTCGTATTTTTGTTTCAATCTGCCTTCCAAGAGGTTAAAGCACACAGGTGAAAGGCATGCATGACTGGATCAGATCGTAAACAGATGGAACAGTATTGTTCCTTCCCTAGGCTACACTATCGTATTGTTAAATATTGGGCAGCCTAGGAACAGTTCTAAATGTAAGACACCTAGATGAGTGCAAATACCAATCTTGGTTCACCTAGAAGCATAGCAAGGGTATTACACAAATTCAGATTTCTACCATTGCTGTACTTCACTGTCTCAAGATT